ATTAGAAATTTGGGGTGATTTTGAAGCCATTTTTCAGAATACCGTATAGCAAAAATTTTCGTGGCCCAAAATTTTTGTGGATTTTGTGTTTTTTTCAAAATTTGCAATAATTAAAATCAAGAGTCCATTATATTAGAGAGAGTGTCGAACTGCCCTATAGTGCTAGTGATATCACCGCGTAGATGTTTCTTGTTTATCTTTGGCTATTTCCGCGCACTCTATAGGTGGCAAGAATAAAATTAAAACTCTCCAGACTCATTCCCATGCTAGGGCGTGTACTCAGCTACTTTTAATAATAAAATGGCCGCCAGTTCTATTGTAGCCTTGAGACTATCTCGAGTGTAGCAGGCACCAGACACACTTGCACTATAGGGCAGTTAGACACTCTCTCTAAATATAATGGACTCTTGTTAAAATATATAGTGATTTTGAAGCCATTTTTTGGAAAAATTCAAATTTTTGAATTGTATTAAAACATTCATCACTTATAAAATTAAAGTCAAAATCTGCTTAAAATTTTTACACAGCATAAGGACATCAATATGTATCAAAAATGTAATAAAAACCTGGGGTGATTTCGGAGCTAATTTTTAGAAAAAAACCATGGGCTATTGGCCAAATTTCACCAAAAATGAAAGGACAGAAGTTTCCACTTTTATAATTTTTTGATACATATACATGTTCTTATGTTGCGTAGAAAGTTTGAGCTCATTCCAATTAAAATTAGATTTTTTACTAATTTTCTAAATTGCTAAAATTAGTCAAAACATAAAAGGACAAACATGTACATGTACATACACTGACTGTGTGTCCTAACCTTGTTGTATTGGTACCAAACACACAGCTGTACGAGAGACCAGAGGAGGTGGGGGAGGGACAGGATGACGAGCGGAATAACGTACCTCAAGATACTTTGAGTCTCTGGGAATGTGTCAGGTAAATGAAACACATTTTCTATCAACACTCTAAATAGTGAGAGACATGGAGATAAAGGATTACATGTACATGTACATATGTATATTTACTTTTGGTGTTCATTTCATAATTCAATGTTTATCAGCAAAGCTCTCGTTAAACTCCTAAAATACAAAAAAACAATGAGATGTAATAATATTAATTGGTTCATTTGTTTAAATGGACATGATTCAAAACTTTTAGACAGAATGGGTTTCAACTATTTAAATGTAACTAAAATTGGTAATGATTCAGTTCAGAGCCATTTTTTGGAAAAAGCATGAACTATAGTCCATAGTTTATTGTTACAGGGAGGGCTGCCAATAGGGTATGTGGGGCCCAGGACAAAAACTTTGATGGTGCCCCTACAGGTACGGGTACAGGACATATCGTACATGTATTTCACAATTTGATTAAAATTCACGTACTAGTATACATGTACAGGTACATTTAAACTACCTCATCTGTTATTTTGCTTTCATTAGTAACTCCATCATTTTCATCATCAACTTTCTCTCTTCCCTGTATATGAAAAGTCCATCATGATCTGTCTGTTCCAATGCCACCATATTAAGGGTTAAAATAACAATAATTGCCCTGATGGTGATCGTGTGGAAGAGATAGTCTGGCCACCCTATGGAAGAGACTGGTCCTATCTACAGTCAATAATTGAACTCACTGGAGCGGAGGAGGTGGCCAGTAAAGGGACCATAGCATCACTAGTGTCCAGTGTCAATGAATATATTAATAATAAATCTAACATGGAGGACACTGTCAAAAGGTAATCAGTATTAGGCCACTCCAATAAGATTCATAGTTTCCCATTACAGAGGCGGGCCTGATGCGGGCGGGCGGGTTTGTTCATTTTCATTAAATTCATTCATTATCAGCTGTATAAATTGCTTGTATAATCAATGAAAAACCGCAATAATGAATAGCGATGCGGCCCCATGCGGGCGGGTAATGGGAAACAAGGAATCAAATTGGAGTGGCCTTATTAGCAATACATGCACATGTATATTGTACATGTACATGCATATTTCTGAATATCTTAGGACCCAATAATAATTGAAGTGTCCTTATTTTAGAGGGTCCTTAATTTAGTGATAGTGATTCTATGCTCAAGTTACCAATAATTACAATATTCTACATTATGAGTATACCCAATGACACTTGGTGAAATATTAAAATTATATACATGTACATGTACCAAGTGCTGTTGATTTATTTTTATTAATTTCTTCATGTAGTGAGCATGATTGCAGACAACTGGTGAAGGACTTAAGGAAACAATTGGTTGAAGTGAAAAGAGAAAAAGAAGAACAAATCACAGTATGAATACTACCCTTTATTATCATAATGACATGCATGTAATTAGTATATGTACAATGTATGTAAAATTCTGAAAAATACCCAAGGCTATAGCCCATGGTTTTTCTGAAAAATGGCTCCGAAATCACCTCAAAATTTTATTACATTTTCTGATACATAATGATGCCCTTAAGCTGTGTAGAAAGTTTGAGGTGATTCCGACTTCAAATTTTTAAGTTACAGCCATTTGAAGAAAATGCCAAAATTTTGAAAAATACCCAAGGCTATAGCCCATGGTTTTTTGCAAAAAATGGCTCCAAAATCACCTCAAATTTTTATTACATTTTCTGATACATATTGATGTCCTTAAGCTGTGTAGAAAGATTGAGGCAATTCCGACTTCAATTTTTCAAGTTACAGCCATTTTAAGAAAATGCCAACATTTTGAAAAATACCCAAGGCTATAATAGCTCTTGGTTTTTCCTGAAAAATGGCTCCAAAATCACCCCAAATTTTTATTACATTTTCTGATGCATATTGATGTCCTTATGCTGTGTAGCAAGTTTAAGCTAACTCTGACTTCAATTTTTTTGAGTTACGGTCATTTTAAGAAAATTTCAAAACTCTGAAAAATACCCAAGGCTATAGCCCATGGTTTTTTAATGAAAAATGGCTCCGAAATCACCCCAAATTTTTATTACATTTTGTGATACATATTGATGTCCTTATGCTGTGTAGAAAGTTTGAGACGATTCCAACTTCAATTTTTCAAGTTACGGCCAATTTAATAAAATTGCAAAATTTCTGGAAAAAACCCAAGGCTATAATACTATAGCCCATGATTTTTTCTGAAAAATTGCTCCGAAATCACCTCAAATTTTTATTAAGTTTTCTGATACTACATACATGAAGTGTATGTTTTAAACCTCTGTAACTACATGTAGATTGATTCCTCTAATAAATTAAGTGTCATCTTATTTTTGGTAGAAATTAGATGAAGATGTTGCTCACTGCAAGGATCAGTTACAAGAACTTAAAGCTTGTACCGGACTACTTAATAAATACATTAAAAAACAATCAGACGTAAGTAATAATTATACATGTACATATACATGCAATAATTTATTTGTTCAAGCAAAATTATTATCTAAAATTTTGGAAAGAATCATTACATATATTTTCCTTTCTTATCAATCCAGTTGCATGCATGCACCCACACATGCACGCATATTAATGAGTTGATTATTATTGTTTTTCAAAAGGTCAAAGTTCAGTGCAGTCAGAGACAGCAGCAGAATAAAGAGTCTGACCTTTATAACGAGAGGGAGAGACTGAAACAAGAACTAGCAGAAGAGAAGAGAGCACATGCTGAGATTGAAAACTACATGTACCTCAAGAAACACATTGAAGTAAAATTAATGATAATAATAATAATATAATAAATTATTAATAAATACATACATACATTTGTACAATACATACATTAATACATACATTTGTACATTTATGTGTGTCTGAGTTTAAAAATAGATTAATGTACCCACAGTATCAATTAGTCCAAACTGTGCTGCTAGGTCTAATGGAGTCTTTCATTGGATTAGCATGTCTCTAATTAATAATAATAATAATTATTATTATTAATGACTTTTGCTTGTAATTTTGGAGGGATTTTGCATTTGTCTACAATGTACATGTACATGTACATGTCATAATTATTGTAAAGTAGAATCCACTGATGAATGAACCCCTCTCTCTACACTGCCAAATAATAATAATAAAATTTATAATAATAATTTATTTTTATTGGGGCAAGCAAAAGCGAGCCCCACATAGTCGAGTCGAGTATGTCTGTCTGTTTAT